GGCCGGCGCCTCCCGGCACGGAGCAGGAGCAGGAGCAGGACGGCCCGGAGAAGCTGGACAGAAAGGAGAAGAAAATCGTAAAGAAGAAGTCGCCGTTTCTGCCAGGTAGGTCCCACGTGCCTGGCGTCGGGTCGTTTTGGAGGGCGCGTTGCGCGCTGTGGAGAAACGTGCCCTGTTTGATTCCCAGGGGGCGTTTGCTCAGCGTTCCGATGGCGTCCACCTAGCAGTATTTGTTTGATATTTAAAGTGAAAATCCACAAGACGGTTTGCCTAACTAGCTCCTTTGCTTGGCGGCCTTCTTCCCCGTGACTCCTGCTCCTCCGGACGTGTCCCGGGGCCTTGACACCGGGCGGTTTGACGGTCGTCCCGCACCAGCTGTGTCCCCCTCCCCTGCTGCAGGCCCCCTTGCCTCCATCTTGGCTGCATTGCTGTCGCCCCCCCGGGCCGGTCCCCTCCCCTCTGCCATCGATGGCCTGTACAGTGCAGCCTCTCTGCTGGAAACCCTCATGTTCCCTACGACCCCCTCTGGTCCTTGGCCTGTGAGCCTGGCACCTGCCCGCAGGCACTTCCAGCCCCTGCCCCTGCTTTTCTGGTGCAAACTCACGACCAAATCATGGGTGTCTGCCGTTCCTAACCTTCTCGCCACCTCTGGCCGCCTGGCTTCCCCACAAGCTGTGCTACATCCAGGGGGCGCTCTTTCTCCCCCTCCTCTCAGTGGGCCAGCCCAGAGTGGCCCCTGGGGCACGTCCCCTGAAGATGGCTGCCCCCCACCCCCATCAGCCTGCAGTCTCTGCGTCACTGGCTGGACAGCGGGAACGTATTCTGGTGCTTCTGGGTGCCCACGTGCTCGGCGTGGCTCTTTGCACAGGGCAGGCATCCTTGCATCTTTCTCAAATGAAGTAGATTCTCCTCTTCTGGGCAAAAATGACCTACAAAAATACTTTCTCACAAATGCAGCTATCCAGCCTCGCCCAGGTGTCTGGGGAGCGAGGGCTTTCTCGCTGCAAAGCCCGGACGACCTCTCGCCTCCGTCAGCGCTGCTTTCTGAGAGTTTCCTCATCGTTAGCGTGCGGTTGTGACTCCGTTTCTCAGTCCCGGTCTTGCTCTCCTCTGCCCCGGGCCTGCCCCCCTCCGAGTGAAAATAGGACGATGGAAAGGAAGCACTTTATCACCAGGGTTGTTGTGGTCTCTGGGGAGGCAAGACGGAGAAAAGGGGCCGTTGAGCAGGCACAGGGCAGCCTGGCGCCTTGGAGCGCCGACCCGCGTGCCTGTCCAGCAGCAGGAAACCCACCGGCTCTGCGAGGCCCTCCCACGGGCACTGCGGCCTGTGGCTGCCGCCTGGCACCGAAGCCACTCAGGTGCAGGGGCTCTGGCACGGCTGCCAGCCTCATGCCCTCTGCCAGGTAGCAGGAGGGCCGACCTCCCGAGGACTCAGGAGCTTCTCCGTGCAGTGAGCAGAGGTGTCAGAATGAAGTGCTCGTTAGCCTTATCGTGCGGTATTGTAACGTGGAGTGTTGGGCTCACAGAGTTTGGAAAAAGCATACACATTAATTTCTGAAATATTCGAATAAGTTAAATACATATACAGAACACTGAGCAAGTTTTGGCGGTTCTAGTGAATTTTCGATTAAATTACTTTTTTATTTCACTCTTTTTCCCCTTTACTTTTTTTTTATGGTGTATTTTTGAACTTACTTGGCTAATATTTTTATTATTTCAGTATGAAAAATACATTTTTTAAGAAAAATATATAGGCGCTTACTTTTAAGTAAGTTAATTTTGTAGGTTACACATTTGTGTTGAAACAATTTAAAGAAATGTAATTGCTAGTGACAATCAGTTAGTTTGATTATTGTATTTCCTTCATGCTCTGTGTCTGCGCACATAAAAGAAAGTCAAACATTTTTAACACTTTATATTCAGCAATTAGAAGCACCGTTTTCCATACCTGTGGTCCCGAAGGTCTGGACTTCAGGTTTCGACTAAAACAGATCAAGGCGCAGAGCGTCTCCGCTGTGTCCGTGGCGTTTTACGCCGCGTGAGTTTGGCCGGCGGCAGGCAGCTTCTCCCGTTGCTGTGCCTGCACTTAGGGAAAACAATGCCCCGTTTACAGAAAACCCCGCTCCAAGCAGTGTGTGAGTGGCCCAGGAAATGTCACCTGGAGTCCCAGTGGCGACGTGGGCGCGGAGAGAGCTGGTGCCTTGGGCCGGTGGCCGGGAGAGCACCTTGGAGTCGTTTTTAAGGACTTCAGCATCCGGCTCCTGGCCGGCCGCCCGAACCCGACTTACCTCTGAGCTGCCTGCACCAGGGCGGTGTTCCCATGGGAGGCACTGAGCATGCCCTGGGCCCATGTGCGACGGGCTGTGCGCGGCGCCCCCACACGCAGGTGAAGGGTGCTGTGTGCAGGCCTGCCGGTCATAGGCGTGTCCCGAGGGGCTAGAGGACGTGCGGGGGCTCCGAGCCTGACCGCAAGTCAGCAGTTCCCACCATCCGCCCCGCCTCCCCAGAGCTCTCCCGGCTCGGTCTGCGATTGTCCCTCGGTGACAGCGACGTTCTCTGGACCTCGTGCTACTCGGCTTCGCTCCCTCCACCGCCTGTGACAGTTTGCAGGAAGCACGGCTCCTCTCCGTGGCAGCAGGCCTGCCGCTCCCTGTCCCCTCCTGTCTCCTCCTGCTCCTGGCACGCCGCTCCCCACGCTGCGTGGGGCAGAGGCCTGGGCGCCGGCCTTGCACCTCCAGTCCGGCCTTCTGGCTGCTGAGGGCACTGGCTCCAGCAGGTCGTGGGGCCGCGGTCTGAGTATGGTCCCTAGACGGGCGGATGAAGGTCACGCGGCGAGCAGCGGTGTGGACACACTGGTGAGGGACGGTGGGCCGGTGACGAGGTCCGTGCACGCGGTCCGGGCACTGCCACTTGCTTCGCAGTCCGCTTGCTGCCCCAAGTTCGCTGGGCCCGCGTGCTCTGTGTGTCGCCTTCCCTGGCGGGGGCTCCGAGGCTCCGTGGGCGCCGGCTTCTGTCCTGCCCGGGCCCCTGTTGGCGGCCAGCGCTGCGGCTGTCTCCTGGCTGAGCGGTGCGTCCTGGCTGCTTCACAGGCCTGGGGAAGATGCTAATGAATCGGCTTCTCTCCAGGGTGTCCTCCGTGGAAGGGTAGCTGTGGTTTTTCAGAGATGTGATAAGTCCAGAGAACAGGTGAGCGGTTCTGCTCCGAGCCTGTGCACCAAAGTGCCGCAGACCCGGGATCCAGGGTGGCTGTTGGCTGGCAGGCCTGAGCAGGGCCTCACGTGAGAGCACGCTGCACCTAGGGGCGGCCTCGCAGACTCCGGTGACGCCGGCACGTGGTGGGCGCCGGGTCCTGCTGCTCGCAGTGCTCGAGTCTGCAGAGCCCCTGCTTCTGACACAGCGCCCGGGTCACGAGCCCCACGAGACCCGGGAGAGCGCCCAGCGCGAACTGCGATTTCGTTGCCACGCCAGCTGCTTTAAACTGTGTGGTGCCAGCAAGGCCTGGACGACTGAAAACTCTGCTGGCAGACGCCTGCAGCAACTGATGGGGCCGAGCGGGCACGACCCGCAGCGACCGATGGGGCCGGGCGGGCACGGCCTCCAGCGCCTTCAGTTCTTTTGTGTTTTCTGCGAGCACGGCCTCATCTTCACCCCGTTTCGAGTTACGTCCTTTGTAAGTCAGGTCCTCGTGGCGGCCGGCATGACAGTGGCTCGTGCTGTCTGAGAGCGCTGTGGGCATGACAGAGCCCGGCGGCCTGACGGGATGCCATTGTCCTCGCGAGTTAGCGGCTGCGGCACAGCCGGCTTTTGCTTCAGTACTCGGCAGTGCCTCTCGAGCATCCTTGATGTCCCATCCTGAGTTAATTTAGTCCAGCTAACTCCCAGTGACTGTCCCCGTTCCATTTCAGCTTAGAAAACGGGGCCAGGAAGTCGGCCTCACCTCCCGGTGAATGCCGACAGCCCAGTAGACGGGGACACTTGGCACAAAGACCCTGCTGGTTTCATTTCATCAGCAGAGTTTATTCCTCCAGGTACGTTGTCAGGTAGAGGGTCACGTGCTTCTCCCGCACAGCGCAGCTGGCCGCGTGGGACCTGACAGCAGGCGTGCGAGCCTATCATGGCTGTCAGACGCCCACACCGGAAACGGGGGCCCACCTTCCTCAGCTGACACGTCACCTTCGAGAGCGACGTCGGGATTTAGTTTGGCTCAGTGCCACGGCTCCCGCGGCTGTGGCATACGGTTCCCACGTAGTGTCCGACCAGAGTGACTCCCACGGCCTCTGATGGCCACCTCGCCGTCCACCCCCGCCTCGGGAGCCCCGAGCACGCTCGGTCTCCACCCTGCCCTGGGTTTAGCCACTCCTGAGGGAATGGCAGCAGCTCGGCCTTGGGGGAGCTGCTGGGTAACAGAGCCAGGCGAAGGCCCGGCTGCTCTGCGTCCTGTGCCTGTCGTCCCTGGTGGGCGGCGGGCAGCTGCACCGGGCCGGGGCATGCGCGTCTCCCTGACGAGCCACTGAGCGGAGGTGGTTCTGAGGGTCTGTGTCTCGCTGGGTGGAGCCGCGCGTGAAGGCGGAGAGCTTCGTGTGCCTCGCCGTGAGTCCTCTGGGCTCGGCCTTCCACACGCACCTGCCAGGCATCTGGGGAGGTCCTGACCTGCTCGAGGCTGGCCGGGCCCCGCGGTCTGAAGCCTGAATCAGCATTTTGGCCCCCGAGGGTCCAGTCTGTCTTTCCCGCTGTCCTGGGAGTGTTCTGGCTGCACGAGGCAGGTCCCCTGGCCCACAGCAGCCCCCCCCCACTCCGTCCCACCCCCTGCCCAGGTCCTCGTCGCCTCGTCCCCCTCGTCTCCTGACACCACGGACGGAGCTGTCTGTGTCTCTGGCGCTCTCTCGCGTGGAGCCTGACTGTGGAGTGAGGGGGACACGTCAAGCTTTCTCTCCTAGCACCGTCTGCGGCCTGGAGGCTCCCCGTCACCTCGCCCGGCTGCCCCGCAGGCTCCGACGTGCCAACTCCCAGTGGACGCCGCGCTGTCCAGCCACTTGAACGCAAAGGCTCTGGAATCCACACCTGGCTTTGCCTTTCAGACGCACCTCAGAGCAGGGCCTTCTCGCGGTCCAGCGCTGCCTTTCGGCGCTTCCCAGGAGGGTCACCTTCACGCAGACGATTCCGAGTGTCCTCCCCTGGGATGGCTCACGCTGCCTTTGCATGCCACGTGCTCGAGTACAGGCACCGCCGCAGCCCGCCTCTCGCCCTGTGCCACTCCCTGGTTCCTTCGGGGGGGCACGTGCCTGCAGGGGTCCTTGGCACGTGGCAGGCGCGTCCTCGGTGCCATCCTCGAAGCAAAGCCGGGAGGACAGAGCTGAGTCAGGCACACGGGCCGCGCATGCACCGTAGCTTTTCCCTGGCCTCGGCCAAGTCAGTTGCCCTTGAAGTGTCAGCTTCCTCATCTGTGGACTGAGCGGAGAACTGATGAGGAAGTCCCCATACGGTGTGTAGACCAGTGCCTGACACGTCCAAGTGCTTAATGAGTCCATTAAAAATACTTATTGAGTGGGTAAAATTTGCTCATGTCACACGGTTCAGAAGATACAAAATGGCACAGGGAGAGGCGAGAGCCCCCCAGCCGTCGCCCTCCGCGCCCCTGCCCAGGGCAGCCGCCGTGTCGGGGTCTGTTCCTGTGTCTTTTAACAGACGGCACATCGCGTGTTACACACGTCGCCGCTTTGAGCAGGACAGTGGCACACCGTGCACGTTCTGCAGTTCACTGTTGCCCACCTGACACTTATTTTACACAGTGCCGGTAGCGCCCCGTGTTTGCGTAAATGTTCAGGTCATTCGTAGTTTTCGCTAATACGTACAGTGCTCCAGTGGGTACGTTTAGAGTTATGTCATTTCACACTTGTAAATTTATCTGTGGCGTACGTCTCTGGAAGTGTCAGGTTTCAAAGGTTAAGCTCTGTGAAGATTGGTTTAAAGTTTTAATTTTAAAATAATTTCAGGCTTCACAGAAATGTTGCAAAAACAATACAAAGAATTCTCCCCTTTCTTTCGTCTGGGTTCCCCAAGTGTTAGCATTTTCTTACTGTTGCTTTCTCCTTAACTGCGTGTTCCCTGGGTTTTCTGAGACTGACTCGCAGATGTAATGCCCTGGTACTAAATACTCCAGCAGATGTCTCCTGCGGCCAAGGACACCACCCCACACAACCGTAGGACAGTCACCAATGTCAGGGTGCTGAAATCGACCCAGCCTGCAGATCTCCTTCATTATTTATGTCACCAATGTGCTTGAAGGCAAAAAAAAAAAAAAAAATTCATTCATACTTTAAAAATTTCGGTGAACGTTGCTGATTTTTTTCCTGTGGAGTCTTATGGATTGCCATGCTGCAACTTGAGTTGGAGCGTCTGTCACCTCGCGGCCTTTGGGATAGTTGTCACTGGAGTGTCAGGTCCTTTTCCCTCATCTGGTAGGATCGGAGTGGCTTCTTGCTACAGCTCTCATCTCCTCTCTCAGGAGAAGTACGGTCGAGCGGCTTCTCACGCTGAGCACCTGCCTGTTTCCCACGAGAGAGACCTGGTTTTTATTTGCTGTGATAGATCAAGGGCGTGGCACCGGGTGAGCTGCATTTGTGGCACATGTCCTCTTCTGGTGCATTTGCCTTTTCGAGTTAACAGGGAGAGATGCTTTGTTTCTCTGTCGCAAGTTTGTTTTACGACTTTTGGACTTGTATAGTGCTTAGATTTCAAGACCGATAGTTTTGAAAAACAACCTTTTTTGACTCAATTTCATTCCGTTTCCAGATGGACACCCGGCTGTCCAAATGCCGCTGACTGAATAGGGCCCTACCTCTGACACGCAGGGCCCTATACACTGCACTCACAGACCAGTGGAGATCTTTTTTGGACCCTATTCCACTCCATCAATCCGTCCTTTTATTTTGTGTTCTGGTACCAAACGGTTTTAGCTTTAGAGTATGCTTTTGTAAGTAAGGGGCCTAGTCCTCTCTTGTTACACTTTTTAGAAACTGTATTTTTGACCACTTTCACATATTTATTTTTTCATACATATTTTAGAATCGTCTGTTAAACTTCCCCAACTCTAGTTCTGCAAAAGTCCTACTGGCTTTTGCACGTATGTGATGTAACTGGAGAATTGACGTCTTTATAATTTTTAGTCTTTGTACCAAAGAATAGGTTCTGCGTTAACATTTATTCAGATTTTTTCTTTTTTCCCCCCCATATTTTAGTAGTAGTTTAAGTTTTTCTTCTGAAGTTCGTAGATATGAAGGATATTGATTCTCATGTATTAAAATGTGGGCCTCTGAATTTTAATTTTTTTAGGTATATAGTCATCATTTGTAATGAATGATTTTACTTTTCCTTTATAGTTTATATTGTATGTTTCTCTATCTTATTTGATTTCATTGGCTAGTATCTCTAAACACGATAAATTAATGCAACGACAGTGGACTTTTCCCTTACTTTAAGAGGGTTGATTTTAGTACTTTTCTGTTAAGTCAGGTGTGATGAGATATGTTTTATTCACCTCCTTCTGGTTTTAGTTTTCCGATTAAGACTAGATGTTGAATTTTAGTAAAAGCCTTTCTATCTTAAAGGTGATTTATGTTTTTTGTTTTTAAATTTATTAATATGTTTGAAGAGGAAAGCGGCCAGCACCAGACATGGTTGCCATGGGAAATGCAGGTCTAGTTTTCCAGATCTTTCCATTTTTTAAAGGGCTGTTTGTCATACTGTGTGGGCCAAACAAAACACATGCAGGCCAGACTTGTAGGCGGCCTCAGGCTACCAGTGTGCAATCTCTGCTTCATCTGTTTCCAGAAATAAGTAGAACCTGGTGACAGTTGTGTATTATGTCATACGTAATTTAAGATAAATTTTCATTTTCATTTTCATTTTGAGGATGATTTCCTAATTTTAGCTAATAGATATTTTTATACTTTGCTTTTTTTGATCCGTCATGACAAAATTATGGCACTTGCCTGAATTAATTTTTCCTTGTTAACTTTAAGCAGTCTTAAGTTGTAGACTCCCTTGACATAAGCTTTATGACTGTAGACTAAATGTCTTTCTCTCACTTTGAAAGCCATTCTCCTTGTTTCCTACTGTTTTTCCCTCATGGTTTATGTTCCTCTCTGTTCTTGTTTCCACTATTTCACTGTTTTTTTTTTTTTTAATGTTTTTTCCTCCTTTTTCCTAACCTCCTTCCCTGTGTTAATAATTAATTAGTCTTGCAAAGAGCATCCTATTCAGGAAAACACAGCGCTGCCCTTTCAGAGTCACTTGCACATACGCAGGATCCCTTGTATTTACTGGTAACAAAGAGAAGGGAGATTTTCTGTTTTTGTGCTAAAACCACCTCTGTACAGCAGATCCTCGAGTAACGTCATTTCATTACGCTGTTGATGAGAAAAAAAGGAATCGCTTCTGGCCGGGCCGGTGTCTGTGTGGGGGGCCCGCACCCTCCGCCAGGTCTGCTGCTTTTCTCCGGGGTCCTTCCCCGTCCCAGTGAGGTGCAGTCAGTGACCCGGTGCGTCCGCGTTGTCCCAGGGAGTGCGTGAAGGTGTCCTGTCCACCGTGGGTCCCGCCTGCTGCCCTGTGCTGCCAGGGGCTCCACCACGCACGAGCTGCGGCTGGAAGGCGCGGGCTGGAAAATCCTCCTGCTGCTCGTTGCTGTTCGTTTCTCTTAAATGCACGGACAGCTCACGCTTCCTTCACCGTTTGGTACTGGAAGCGTTTCGGGGGTCACTCAGAAGTGCGGTGGTGGTTCTGTGCCCAGAACGTGCCGTGGACACCCAGCCCGCCTGTCCCCTCAGCCTCCGGTCGCTGGTTTCCTTACACGTGGCTTCGGTGGAGTCTCAGTTTCTGTTTCTGAGAACCTGTCACACTGAGGGAGGACTTCCTGGACAGACACAGTTTAATAAAGAGTTATCTGAGTTTTGTTTTTAAAAATTTTGATATTTTAAAAATCATTTTACTTATTGTATTTTCATAAATTTTGCTTGTGATTTTTTTTGATACGAATGATTCAGTTGAATAATAATAGTTATACAAGAATCTTTAATGTTTGATCCTGAATTTGTTCGTGTCATACATACTAGTTTTTTTTTGTCTTAACTCTTGATAAATTCCCTTTTGTAGCATGAGAAGCTACCGTTTCGTCAGTATTTACGTTTGCAGTATTTTTCGCTGGTGGTCAGACTCACGCTGTCCTGCAGCGTCACTCCTTCTCACGTCCGTGCGTTCCTTTGGGTGTCGTCCTTCGACGCCCGGTTTTCCATTCGCGTGCGCAGTGGGCGGAGTCTGTTCGGCTCACGTGGCCCTGTGTCACATCCCGTCCCCTCAGTCCGCTGATCTCTCACAGGCTGCGATTTGTTCCCTCAGGGGGCTGTTGGCGCCTCGTGCTGGGCTAAGCGACAGGCCTCCGCGACTCCGGCGCCTGGCGCGCTCGCTC